ATCTGCCTTCGGCTCAGGTCATGATCCCAGGGTCCTGGGATCAAGCCCCACATCGGGCTCTCTGCTCGGCGGGGCGCCTGCTTCTTCCTCTCCCCCTCCCTCTGCTTGTGTTCCCTCTCTCGTTGTGTCTCTCTCTGTCAAATAAATAAAATCTTTAAAAAAAAAAAAATAACTTAAAATCTTAAAAAGTATATATATACAATGTGCTTAAAAGAAATGGGAAAATATATTAACCAAGAAGGGAAAACGTAGATAAACGTGTACAAGTTATTCAGTAGCTAAAAAATTTTCAGGTCTGTATTAATGATCTTGAAGTCACCGTCATAACATGGTAGTAATAGTCTGAGTAACTAGAAAATGTGATGTTCTTTATGTGGGTTTTGATGAATTCTCTTTATAATGTGATCTTCTGTTCTTCCATTTTAGTAATTCATTTGTGTAATAAATGGTAATTTCATTTTCCATGGGAGGCAGATTATGTTGTCTTCAGGTTTCCAGTCATGAGGCTGTACACCTTATGGGGCCCACTAACAACTCCAAATCTTTATACTAAATTAGGGTTTCTTTTTTCTCTCTTATTTAACATAATTAAGGCATTGAAATATTACTTTGTTCTCACCATTTGTTTTTAGGACTTTGAAGAATATCCTGAACACAGAACGAACTTTTTCTTACTACTTCAGGCTGTCAATTCTCATTGTTTCCCAGCATTCCTGGCTATACCACCTGCACAATTTAAACTTGTTTTGGATTCCATTATTTGGGCTTTCAAACATACTATGAGGAACGTTGCAGATACAGGTAAATACACATGTCCTTTTATTCATTTGCCCTACCAATCCACAGGCTCTTAGAGATAGATCTGTAGGTATAGTCAGGTAGATAACACTTGTTATCAGGGTTTTGTTGGAGTACATCACTTGGTATGTAGGCCTAAGTAAATTCTAAAAGCAGTTGAGTCCTCTGTTCCATAGTTGAGTCCACGGGCAGGATTGAGTTAGAGGGAGATGGGCATAAAACATCCCTTCTCCACATCCTCACCACTGTGTCCTTTTCCCTGTCTGCTTTTCCTCAGTGCCAGTGAGGGTCAAAATAAGGATAAAACACAGCATTTTTAGCAAGACAGATTTTTATTTAGTTTGTTTTTACATAGAATTCGGTTTGTGTAGCAGGTATGTACTTGTAATGCTGTTTTTAGAGTTGATTTGGAGAGAATCGACAGAACCTTCAGAAATAGTGGAAAGTTGGTAATAATTATTACTTGTAGTCTGTAACTAAGCAGGCATTGATGGTATTTGAACTCCCATTACTCAAGATAACTTAGTCAAATAATTGTTAGTCATTAGCGGAAAGGGGGGTAAGAATGGCCTTTGAATCAGAATAGTTGAATAGTGGAAATTCTATATGAATGTTACCAGTCTGTAATAACTTTGTTGGTGTTCTGTACATTTTAGGCTTACAGATACTTTTTACACTCTTACAAAATGTTGCACAAGAAGAAGCTGCAGCTCAGAGTTTCTATCAAACTTATTTTTGTGATATTCTTCAGCATATCTTTTCTGTTGTGACAGACACCTCACATACTGCTGGTAAGAATTTATAGCCATGAGAATGTTAAGTGTTCCAGTTGTTATTACCTGTTGGAGGTAATAATGTTCTTTTCATCAACAGGTTTGACAATGCATGCGTCAATACTTGCATATATGTTTAATTTGGTTGAAGAAGGAAAAATAAGTACACCGTTAAATCCTGGAAATCCAGTTAACAACCAGATGTTCATTCAGGAATATGTGGCAAATCTCCTTAAATCTGCATTCCCTCATCTTCAAGAGTAAATATGCTTTTTAATACGCATACATTTTTCAGTTAAAAAAATAGTGATTATTTAATTGTTGTGTTTTGATTTACAGTGCTCAAGTAAAGCTCTTTGTGACAGGGCTCTTCAGCTTAAATCAGGATATTCCTGCTTTCAAGGAGCATCTTAGGGATTTCCTAGTACAAATAAAGGTATGTGTTTTGTTTGTATTTGGAGAAATAGTAAAACTAGATATGATTTAGTTGTTGCATTGTAGAATTAACCACTTTTTTGGTAAAGCAAAATGAATGATATTCAGGCTTACTAGTCCTAGACTGATTCAGAGTGAAAAACTAAATTGTAGTTGAGAACAGGTTGGATTTGAAATGTTTTTGGAAACTTGTTATTAATACAGTTCATTTTAGATGATATAAATGTCTTGGAATATTGTGATTACATCCTACAGCTGATTTTTTTAAAAATTGTGAAATATGGGGAAAGAAACACTGGTAGACCCTTTGGGGGTTTCATACCCATTTTGTTAGTAAGGAATCCATTTTAGGGAATTAAGACAAATTCACAGATAATCAACCCGTTACTACTGTTACACAATGCTTCATTTAAATTTATGGGAAGAGGGATTCATCTTGTATTATTTTCTTTTAAAGAAATTTAAAAGTAGGGACGGCTGGGTGGCTCAGTTGGTTAAGCGTCTGCCTTCCGCTCAGGTCATGATCCCAGAGTCCTGGGATCAAGTCCTGAATCTGGCTCCTTGCTCGGCAGGGAACCTGCTCCTCCCCCTACTTATGTTCGCTCGCTCTCTTTCTCTGACAAAATGTTTTAAAAGAAAAGTAACATAACATTTATAAGTGGTTGATGGATTGTCTTAACCTGACTTAAATAAGAACTGGTCACATGCAATAATCAAATTTTTTCTCCAAGATACAAATAAGGTTTTTTCAATTGTAAATATATTAGCTAAGTTGTAAGGTGGAGAATGAAAATTACCTGAAACAGCTATAAAGTCAGTCACAATGTAGCTAAACTTTGTCATTAATCATAGGAGAAACAGCTTTTTAAATCTCCTGGCTTGTGAAGCGTATTACATATATATATGACATCAGACTGTGCCTCTTTTAATAACCTTTTTTATCCTCAACTAAGACCTTTGGTTTTAATTCAGCTATACAGAATTGTATTATACTATAAGTTAGGGATACCTGGGTGGCTCAGTCAGTTAAGTATCTGACCCTTGATCAGGTCATGATCTCCGGGTCCTGGGATCAAGCCCCATGTGGTGTCAGGCTCTGCGCTCAGCACAGAGTCCGCTTGTTCCTCTCCCTTTGCTCCTCCCGTGTGCGTGCCAGCACGTACTTGCTCTCTCTAATACCTATAATCTTTAAATACATACACGCGCGTGTGCGTGCATACACACACAATATAATTTAAAACCAACCAATTGAAGGCTAGATTTTTTATCATGTAAACAAAACAGGGAGGTGCTTGTCTATCCTTTTTTACATGGGGTTTTTTTGTTTGTTGTTTTTTGTTGTCTCCCCCCACCCCAAACAGGTCATTTTCCAAAATTGGAATTCATTATGTTAACACTTCAACCATCTTGTGTTCACAGGAGTTTGCAGGTGAAGATACATCTGATCTGTTTTTGGAAGAGAGAGAAACAGCCCTTCGACAGGCTCAGGAAGAGAAACATAAACTTCAAATGTCTGTCCCTGGCATCCTTAATCCACATGAAATTCCAGAAGAAATGTGTGATTAAAATCGGAAGTCATGCTGGGTTTTTTTGTTATTGTTGTTGGGTTTCCCCCCCACCCCCCGCAACTCTTGTTAGCAGAAGAAAACAGCATCTGGATATTTGTCGACCAAAATGATGCCAATTTGTAAATTAAAATGTCACCTAGTGGCCCTTTTTCTTATGTGTTTTTTGTATAAGAAATTTTCTGTGAAATATCCTTCCATTGTTTAAGCTTTTGTTTTGGTCATCTTTATTTAGTTTGCATGAAGTTTAAAATTAAGGCATTTTTAAAAATTTTACTTCATGCCCATTTTGTGGCTGGGACGGGGGGAGGAGGCAAATTCAATTTGAACATATACTTGTAAATTCTAATGCAAAATTACACAATTTTCCTGTAAACAATACCAATTTTTAATTAGGGAGCATTTTCTTTCTAGCCTGTATTTCAGTCTAGAAGGAAAGGTAATGAGTAAAACAAATTGCGTTAAGAGGATTCTAGTGCTGCATTGTCTAAAGTTAGCACCTCTTGGACTGAATCGTTTGTCTAGACTACATGTATTACGAGTCTGAATGGCAAGTTTGCAGCAAGATCATGTGCATATCATCCCATTGTAAAGCGACTTCAAAAAATATGGGAACACAGTTAGTTATTTTTACACAGTTCTTTTTGTTTGTGTGTGTGTGCTGTCGCTTGTCGACAACAGCTTTTTGTTTTCCTCAATGAGGAGTGTTGCTCATTTGTGAGCCTTCATTAACTCGAAGTGAAATGGTTAAAAATATTTATCCTGTTAGAATAGGCTGCATCTTTTTAACAACTCATTAAAAAACAAACAAAACAAAACTCTGGCTTTTGAGATGACTTATACTAATTTACATTGTTTACCAAGCTGTAGTGCTTTAAGAACACTACTTAAAAAGCAAAATAAACTTGGTTTACATTTATTTTCCTTTATTGGCTCAAAATTATTCCTACATTAATGAAAGTGATTATATATGTGTTTTAAGTATTAGGTAACATTTTTTAAGTGAAGTTGGACACTGTTGATTTACAAATACAACCTCTGGGGTTATTGGGAGTAAAGGCACAGTTGGATTAATCGAACATGCTCCAGATGTTACCTTCTGTTCCCATGAAACAGATCCCTTTTGTGACAGCTTGATGTGCTTTTATCTTTATTTGCAATTAAAAAGCATCTTCTCTTGGTTCCTGGATAGGAGTTACGTATAACAGATGAAAGAGAATGAGAACCCAGGTGTAAGAAGCTACTGCAGATATTCTTGATTAATTGTATTTTTGTCAAATATAACCCTTAGAAAGTTGCCTTATCCCTTTAGGAAAGGTAGGAGGAAGGGGGAAAATGTGTAGATGTCCTATAAAACATCAAAGGGGGTAGAAATAAGGGAATAGAAAAAGGAAACTAGCTTGGGTGAGCCTGTCTCTAGAGGATTGAGTCTAACCTATAAACCTAGACTAAAACCTAAGCATTTGAAGTGCCTCATGTTCGTGCAGAGTCAGCAATTTTGTATAGTTGCTGTACTCTTCTAACTTCGTAGGCTTTGACAAAACTATTGCTTCAGTAGAATATAATCCTGTGTGAAACTTTTTTCTAGGACAGTAAATGGTAAGAGTTCAAATGTATTCAAAGAAGAACATTGGAAAACTGTTTCAAATTTTAGCTTTGTTAAAATCTTTGATTTGTTCTTATTAATTACTTGTTTTGGCCTAAAAAACCCTTTTAAGAGGTTTTCTTGGGTCAGCCAGCCAAAAGTCAAAAGTTCAGGTTCAGATTGGTCTATTTTGAATTAGCTATGAAATGCATATTGTTTTGAGTCGCTGTCACCATTTCTGTCAATGATCATACACAATTTTCTTACCTTCTAGCACATCCACTCTACCCCCTGCTTTCTTGGTATATTCTAGATGTTGCAAGAAAACAAGTCTTGGCTTGGAAACCAGGATAGTCCGCTTTGAATTTAGAAATGATTGGCAACTGGGATTCAGCCACTGCTGAGAGTAAATTTACCTTTTTTTTCCTTTTTACTTTGTGTACAGGCCTCAGGACAATGTCACAAAAACTGATAATTGTCCCTCAATATGTATCATTCATTTGTTTTAATAATTGAATCCCTATGTTTTAACTGGGTACTTAAGCCTCCTAGCTGACCTTTCCCAACCACCCTTGCAACCAGGTTGAAGTCTTGTTGACTGGAATGAAAGCAGAAGTGATAATAAACTTCTGAAAAATACCTTTAAAGGAAGGGACATGGATGTGATGGTAAGAGCTCGAGATTTTAGATCGTGAAATGAAAGATAATGGATAAGAACACCTTTCCTCCCGTTTCCCCTGCTGACTTCTGTTACTGTCATGTACTTTAATTATACAATTTATTATTTTACAATATATACAATTTTATAAATTTTGAACTTCACAAGACATTAAATTATCTTGAATAAAATTATAGCTATAGCTTAAAAGAATCATTTCTTCAATGTTTACATAAGCTAAACACATTCAAGGAAAATACAGAAATTAATGGAATTGGAAACTTGGAACTCCGGTCTCTTTACACAGAGTTCTCATCAGAGGTATGTTCTATCCCATAGTTCAATCCCTTGTATGAAGCTTGTGGGACTCCAGCAAAGAGGAGATTTGACCAAAACCAAGAAAACAATAGTGATAGCAAATTAAATCTTCGGTGGGCATTTCTTGCTTGATTGTACATTGATCATATTTGGGTCACCCTCAAGGTATTTAACACAGTACGCTGGTAACTGGTCATTTCACGTGTTTGGCATAGTGCTTTTTAACTCTTGGGAACAAGTCAGTCTCTAAATTCTTACAAGTTGGGAGGAGAACTGGAATTACTTTGCATAGTTAAGTGGGTCTGAATCCTGGTCCAGGCACTCATTCAATGGGGAATCTTGGGTAAGGCATTTGAACTTGAAAAATGGGATCACAAAGCTAAGTCCCCTTGATGGTTGTGAGAATTTACATACAAACATGAGAATATGCCTGACACCATACCTAACTCCAGGGTGCATTTTTTTCTTCACATTTTAGCTTCTCTGAAATTGGAGTAGATCTGAACAATCCATGGCATCTTAAACTTTCTGGTGGACCTGCAATGCCACGGACATGTCTTTGCCTGTCCACATGTGAAACCTAATCATAGCTGCTGGTGTGCATTAGTTTAATTGCTTAGTGTCTTCAAAAGGATAGTTCAACATCAAAATGTTACTTTTATGTACAAAAAAAGGCACACAGAAGCAGAACAAACTTCTAAGGAAATTTTAATTTTTAGAAGGATAACCACAATTGATATTTTCTTGCAAAGTGGCAACCAAGTTATGTCTTGGGACCTATGCAGGGGAGCTGCCCAGAAGCTGTAATGCAAGGAGTTGTCTACCAAATGCAAGCAAAGCGGTTTTATTCAAATGAGAAGTGTGAACAGATTGATGAAATTTCAAAAAGAGGCTGCTATAACCAATTCATGCAGTTTGCAGGATTGTCAAGTACATTGTCAGAGTTGGCAGTGTTTAGTTGTTCTTGGTACATCTTGGCAATTGATGTCCTCTTAGATTTGAAATAAAGCAGTAAGTAAGCCAAGTATGAGTTAAATCTTCACAGGCTTTTCCTTACCCCACTTGGAGTCTAGTTAATTTGTTAGGCTTACCTACACAATACAGACCTCTCATGTTTGACCCCAACAGACAGGCAAGGATGGAATTTGAGAAAAAAAAAAAACACACTAGAATACATATAGGAAATAATTGGTGTGATTTCATAGTGTATGTGTTGGGATTCCTGTGAAAAAGCAGCATAATTCATTCTGTACAATGTGAATGTAAGGCTTTATGGAAAAGAGGTTCATAAAACAGTCATGGTACTCTTGGTTGGCTCAGTTGGTAGAGCACACGACCCTTGATCTCAGGGTCCTGAGTTTAAGCCCCACATTTGGGCATAAGGCTGGCTTTAAAAAAAAAAAATGGATGCCTGGGTGGCTTAATGGTTAAGCATTGGGACTCTTGCTTTCGGCTCAGGGTTATGAGATGGAACCCCAGTTGGGCTCCACTCTTGAGTGTGGAGTCTGCTTGAGATTCTTTCCCCTTCTCCCTACCCCTCTGCTCCTTTGCCCCCTAACTTGTGATCTCTCTAAAATAAAATCTTTTTTTGAAAAGGTAAAAAATGAAGTGTATCTAATTACTAATAGATTACTAATTATAAATAACTACTTTAAGATTTTTTAAGTACTCTATATACCCAATATAGGGCTTGAACTTAAAACCCTGACATGAAGAGTCACATGCTCCACTAACTGAGTCAGCCGGGCGCCCCTATAAGTAGTACTTTTGATAAGTACTGTTGTAAAGTTTCCCTTACCATCTTTTGTGCTTTCCATCTCTGTGAGACATTCTGAGTAAATTCAGAAAATTAATAGTAATTCCATAATACCTAGTCCATGTTCAGGTTTCCCCAACAGTTCCTGAAAATGTCTTTCATGGCTTGTGTTTTTCCAAATGGGGGTCCAATTTAGGTTTATGTTTTTTGAATTGTATAGTTACTGAGTTTTTAATTTCACTGGTAATTTCTTAAAATTTATATTTGGTTATTCAATCTGTTTTTTAAAATACTGTCTTCTCATTTTTCCCATGTATTACAGCATAGTTTGTATTTTGTAACATCCATTACTCAGAATGATGAAAGCTGCCCTACCTCCCCACTGATAACCTTTAAAATTTAATTCTGTTGGCCCTCGGGAAAAAACACTAGCTTGCAAACTGGTTTTACAGTAGTCTTGCTTTCTCTGGGTTTCACTTTCTGTGGTTTCAGTTAACGGAGGTCAACTGCAGTCTGGAAGCAGGCGATCCTTCTGACCTGTCGTCAGACGGTCAGTAGCCTAGTGCTACGTCACAATGCCTGCGTCATTTACTTCTCTTCGTCTCATCACATAAGCATTTTGACATCACATTATCACAGGAAGGGTGAGTACAGTACAATAGAGACCACATTTATTTTATTATAGTCTAAGTTTATAATTGTCCTATTTTATTATTGTTAATCACTTACTGTGCCAGACTTAGAAATTGAACTCTATCATAGGTATGTAGGTATAGGAGAAAACTGTATTTAGATTCAGTACTGTCTGCGGTTTCAGGCATCCACTGCGGAGTCTTGGGACATATTCCCCCACAGATAAGATGGTACTAGTGTGTATTTACAAGAATATCTTCTTTTAAGATTTTATTTATTAGACCGCAAGAGTAGGGGGAAGAACAGAGAGAGAAGCAGGCTCCCCCCTGAGCAGGGCGCCATAACTCAGGCTTGATCCCGGGACCCTGAGATCAGGACCTGAGCCGAAGGCAGACGCTTAACTGACTGAGCCACCCAGGCGCCCCTGTTACAAATATTTTAATGTGTTTTTTGTTTTGCTCCATGTACCAGAAACAGTAATAACAATGACAATGTTTATTTTGCCCATGTGTCAGTGAAATCCAGAGTTAACCATAATGGAACTTGTGAAGCTCAGCTTTATATCACCAGGGTTCTGGCAATTTAGGAATTTTTTGTATCCCTCGCACCTGGATTAACCCCCACTTCAAATATAGGTGCAGGAATTTCAAGTACTATATCTGCATTCTAGACAGCAGAGAGGAAGAAAGCTTCCCCTTATAAGACTTAAAGTCTCAGAAACTCATAGAACACTTTCAAGTACAGCTCCATACCCCACCCAACAAGAGAAGCTCAGAAATACAATCTTGAAGCTGGATGCATTGCTGTTGGGAATAAAATTGGCATTCTATCTAAGGGGGAGAGTAAATTGAAACTAACAGCCTCTACAAGTTCAAAAAGTGTTAAGTGAAAATAAAGGACAAAAGGCAGTTGACTTAATGGGAAAAGCAAAATCTTCCCTAGCATTCAAGTACTAATAATGCCAATGAAATTGT